TGACCATTTTCAATCGTTACACTAACCCTGGCTTCGTCGAACATGACTTTCCCTTAACTCTGTAGTAGTTCCGAAAGGCGCATTTAACTCGCAAGATACTTGAATAGACACCGCAGATTCACACAATCACTTAGTCTGAATCGTGTACACTTACATGTCACGGCCGTGTTCACATGTTCAGCGCCCAGTGGGGCTAACTAATATGGCTCCAGGGACCTGTAGTAACGAACCTAATGTCATTTGTCTGCTCGCATCTTGTTCTGTTGGGTTCATATGGTCATAGCCTCACTTTGACTGTGAAAATAAATTAAAAAAACTCGTAAATATGTGGCTTACATGGCACATTGACCACTTCCAGCCGACACCGTCACGAGCAATCCAGTGTTGTTGTGTATTCTTTAATGTTCTCAAATGATGTATAACACTTGGTGCTGCAGTTTTTCTGTCAGGGATGATCACACACAATCGTATTAAGATGGCAAATCCTGCTGTTATTCTATAGGTAACCGTGAAAACATCAATGGGCCATGCTGCTCAGCCTCCGTGCAATCCGTCCCGGATGCAGTAAGTCAGTGGAGGAACTTCGACCCATTGATACCAGTGCTAGCGAACGCCAAGCAATGATTGGTTTTGAAGCAAGCAAAAGGGTACTTTTAGGAGGGCTGTGAATGCGTACAAAGTACTGGCTGGTAGTTGAAAATACGCTTTCTGGTGAACCCAATGAATGAAACATTCGAAGTGTCCTAGTCCTCCGCCCATTACCAAACACAAAGGTCAAATTAACAAGATACTAGGAGCCACTGAAAAATTTCTAGCAGCACATTATCTGAGGCAGGACACGACCTATTTTGTGGGCTAGACTATTATCAGGTTGTTCCATAAGTCTGTGTTGTTTCACTCCAAAACTGAGGTACAAAGAGAGCAAATCACTTATTGTGTTTTCTGAATGTTACGCAACGAGATTTATGTGGTCTTTCAATAAATCGCATGTTTGTTGCGATAGTTTTACGGCAAGCCCCATTGACGATGCTTTGATAAGCTACGTATCATTGAGCAGAGCCTTGTGAACTTACACAAAATAGTCACTTTATTGTTGTTTCTGGAGCTTTGTGGCTACATTTTACCTTCTAGGAACCAACTAGTTTTACGGTTTATCAAGAATTTCGATGCTGTCGAGCTTAAAATGTGCCTGCTGGCTAGCTAGCTTGAAATGCGCCCTTGAATATGGTTTATTCCATCTTCCTATATCCTGCAGTCGGGAGGCGTCGTACAATCGGAGAGAAATCAAGCACTGACGAGTCTTGTCTGCCGTTTTGGTGTTTATTTCACGTTGGACGTAGCATATATCGGTCCGCTGAGTGTCATGTTTACCGAAGTCCTGAGGCACATTTTTAGACGGGTTAGTTTGGCTTTCGCAAACGTTTTCAGTGGGCCAACTGACAACAGAGCTCACTCAGGTTTTCGCGGACACATAGGAGATCGTCGGCAATGACCCGGTGTGTTCACACAGTTAGACAGACTTCCTGCACGCAATTCTCCAAACACAGACCACAAGACCGTTCCCCATCAGACACGGTGGGGTGTAACATCCACCGCTAAGATAGGGCGCTTCAGTGAAGGCCAAAGTGCCATATGGTGTCTTCAAGTTGGGAAAGCAATTTCATTTATATAAATTCAGCTTTTTATTAATCTGGCTTCCAGTCCCGCACTGAAAACTCGTGACCGAGATTGGATCTTGGCACCAGCAGGCTCGCAGGATCAGGCATCCGAGACAACACATCGGACTCCTAGTGGAGCTCGACTGTCGTGGTCGGAATTTTCTTACATTGGATCAACCAAACCCGGCAACTTTTCGGACTTTTTTACTGACACAGGAACAGCTGAAGTAAGTGATTCTTCCGTTCTTCTCTTTCCTGCAGTAGGCGAATACAGGCTACTATATTGCAACGCATTCGGTTCTATACAGAACTGCCAGAAGCAGTTCACTTTTTACAACACTCCAAACCGACAACTGGCAGACATCCAGTAAGAGACTTGGCTACTGAATGGTGGAACTTAGTGAGGGCCATAGTTACGGATCAACATTAAGCGATATCTTCATCTCAGAAAGTAAAAAACAGCGAATGCACCGATGCAATCGAAGAGAAATTCCTGAAAACAGTTGCCTAATTTGCCAATCGAAAGGTGGAAACGAAAATGCGAAATGCAGGAAATGCAAGCAGACCAATCGGAAAATGAGAATAACCGGTGGAACTAAGATACTCAGTGAAGCAATCAAATGCAAGTGAGTCACACAGGCGCAACATGAAATCCAACTGAACTAATCCAATTACCCGCAGGCCAAGTTTTGAACAACCAATCTGGTACGGGCTACCAAATACTCTTTACAAACTCTATAGGCGCAAGTAGACTTGAAGGAAGTACTTTACCGAACACTGACGGTGTCAGTTCGTGCGGTGGTGGTAATCTTGTACGCCATTTTTTAAGTTCGGCGAACACATAAACTGCTCTGATAAACAACCAGTTAACGCACCCGGGCTATCAGGACTTCCACACGTTGTATTCGTAATGTTTTACTGTATGAGAAGTACACGGAAATTAATTCGAGTCCTTGCTGATGAGGCCGATCAAAGGTGTGGTTCCGGTGAAGTGGACAGTACAGTGAGTATTATACAGAAGCGCTTTTCCGTGTGCTAAAGTGTTACTTGGTAGGGAATCAATACTTTTGTTTTTATCATAGGGGTCTGTAGATGTGTTCTGCTGGCAGAAGCGGAAGGATGAAAACACATTCGAGGACTATAACACAATATTACCAAGGTCAGCGACGGTGAGACGGTGGTCTTTTCTGAAGCAAACGATGTCTTAGGGTTTCACCGTGGACGACCAGATATTCTACCATCTGCACCGAATCTGCAGGGGTGTGTGATTTACTGTTCGCAGTTGGTTGGTCACAACTCCCGTTTAGTTCGATAGCTAGGCGATACACACTACTCCGGTGATGACTGTCCATGTATTGTGCAACGCGACTGAAAGTCGTCCAGTTGCGCTGTACATTGAACGACCGAGATTCCTTTACATCCAGGGGCAGAATTCTACCGTAGCAGATCGGCTACAGAGTCGTGTCTTGTCCCGTTGCGAGTGATGACTGATATCAGTATGTCTCGGCTTTCCCCAGCTCTGTTGAACACGCTCAGTTAGCCATAGTTCTGTGGTCTTCATAAGATCCGTCTATTCCCCTACCGATTCCTCTTCAGCCCTATCTTACACTCTAATATTTTTATTTTCTAGTCATCCAACTCAGAGGGTGTGAACGTGATCCTCGTGCAAAACGCAACTCCGTCAATTTTAACCAACAATCCACATTCAGTTGGATGGGACGTTATTTTGATCCGATCTCGGGCGATGGACCATTCAGCTGAAGTTCCGAACCTTCGGGAAGCATTATCTGTCCGGGATCTTCTCATTGCTTGCGTCTACCGTGGAGCCGAAGTCGGTGGTCTCAGGGAATGGCAGTATTGGTCTACTGTTCAGACCCAGGGAAATGGCTGGTTAGCCTCATATCCCTACTTTCTATGGCCCGATACGCCCGGCGGTCGAAAGTCCGATGAAGAGATGTCCAAGGAGCGACAACAGGTTTTCAGGTATATAGTCCATATTGACGTTGTACCGACTGCCATTATTCTTGGTTCGCTAGGCAAAGGACGCTGTGTCGACCTACTATTGTTGTCGCACCCATCGACGAACTCGACACTGCTTCCATACAACCAGGAACCGGATCAAACTCCACAACGCTCCTATTTTTTAACTTGGAATCGAAACACAAAGAATCCGCTATAACTATTCTTTACTCTTCCTGTATGGGAATAGTGGGTTTGCCTCCTGCATACTAGAGCTGATATAAAACGCAACATACTGAAAGTTCCGTATTCAGATCGCTTCTTTTGCTGTAGTGTTTGCATCTTCGGTAAGCGAAACGGTGGTGGTTAGGTCTATAATTCTAAGCGCAATTGAGAATTACCACTTGGTGTGCTCCCTCCGAGTAGATGTCGCACCTAAGGGGCTGTTAGGTAAGATAAAAGCTTAACTGACCTCCAACAAGATATACGCCTCAATTGTATCCATCGGCTCCATTTGATTTTCAAGCTTAACGCAGTTCAAAATCAAACGAGGGCGATTTGTACCGAGAAGTTTAGGCCACCCATGCGTCCTGTGAACTCCGAATACGGCCAACTGTTATGTATTTATAATGCAGTGAGCAAACGACAGTATGAGCGGACTGACACGGTATTCTATCCCCAGCTATGTTGCCTGATCCCGGCTCATAATACAGCGGACTAGTAAGAAGACGAAACATCATAAACGAGAGATTCAGCTGGGTTCCAGGTGTGTCTCTCGAAAGAACCAAATTGGTTTGCAAATGAGTGTATATTCGCTAAGAAGACGAAACCTTAGACACAACTGTAATGCTCCGAACAACAGGCGATTTTCAGAAAAAGTGACACTGAATATATGTATCCTTAGTTTGGCTGAAAAAATACCAAAAGTTCGTTAGCATACAAAGATACAGAGTTGTGAAAACTAACGAGCTCGACGTGAGTCGACCCGGATACGTTCCTGCTGGTGGCGTCATCAGTCTATCTAACGCCTGAGAAGAAGTGCTCGATCAAGCACTGAGCTGCTGGTTACACTCTCTTCTTTCGATACCGCGTCAGCTTTCAGCTCAAAGATATCGAGCAATATGTTCAACGGCACGGTACCCGAACATACTGGAGTTTCGGGCGTGCTGTTTTGATGTCTGGTGCAGATGTCTTGACCAACCGATACATCTTACATCACGCTACCGCCTTTGCGCAGGATGCAACCTGTAGTCTATGCGTGTCACGGGTGATAATCACGGACGAGTACGGGCGCTCTCGCCTTGAATGGTGCTCCAGTTGTCACGGTTATGGACCTTGACTCAGTAGACTGTGTTGGCAACATGGAAGAATGAACAGTTCTCAGCTTACGGCCAATGAGCAGGTGACTGGTGGCTCACCAAAGCATTGCTCGGGGTTGTTCGGTACACAAAAAAGAATCTCACACTCTTCTGACCAACAATAGGGGACGTCCTTCCAAGCAATTGATTTAGTGGGGGTCGAATGTCGTGTAGCGAAGGCAAGAATGCCGAATAAAAGCTGATTAACGCAAAAAAGGAACGTAATGATGGGACATCCTCAGGAGCTGTCACCTTCTGTGTATTTCGAACGTTCTCCAGGTCAGGATGACGAGCAGAGGCGTCGAAAACGAGACGAAAATAGTTCACTATTGTCAAAAAATGCCACTTCTCGGAATGGAGGCGATTGTCCTGAATGCGCAGAAAGACGGCATTGATCCGATCAAGAAGCTTTCCTGGTGAAATAGCAACGATCAGTGCGTCGTCCAGGTATGCGACCACACCTGGAATGCCAGAAAGGATGGTGCTTATCAACTGCTGGAAAATTTTTGGTACGGTTTTGACGCTAAACGGAAGACGGGTGTATTGATACAGCCCGAGGTGTGTGTTGATTGTCAACAGTGGGCGTGATTCTGGTGCGACTTCAACTTAAAGGTACCCTTCAGCGAGTTAGATTTTCGCGGACAACTTTCCACCGTTCAGAACAGTGAGTGGATCGTTGGGCATTGGCAGTGGATAGTGGTGCTGCTGGAGAGCTGTGTTTAGGCCGGTTGAGAAATCGGCGCAAATCGGATTTCGCCGTTGGGTTTCTTCACCACGACAATCGGTGCCGCCCAGGCGGAGTAGGATACAGGGGATAGAACGCCTTGTTGTTGCGGCCGTTGAAGTTCGATATCTACCAGTGGGAGGAAGCGTACGGGACTGATTTCTTTTGACGGAAGACTGGCGTAACACTCGGCAGGGGGTAGATGACTGCTTGTGTCGCAGTGCACTGACCGAGACCGGACTGGAAAGCAACTGGAAATCGCTTGATAATGCCGGATGCATGATCTCGAAGCGCCGTGGGAGACTGAACTGTATTGCAAATGACACTGAAGTGTCGGCTAACCCCAAGCGATCGAACCAAGCAAGACCCAATATCTGAGGTACATCGCGGAAGGCAGAACAGAGCTACGATTCCTCAATCAGTGTATGCAACAGAATCATATTCCTACGTTTTATTCACGAATACTACCCAGAAGCCGAATCAATCCAACTGCCACTGCACCGCCATGCCATGCACGCAGTGAGTTTGACACGATACGAGGGAATATTCGGGAACCAGAACGTAAACAAGCCCAATATGCAGGGGCAAACGTTGACGTTCGACTCATTATTGCCAAACGGACGGATGACAGAAAAATCCTCGTCAACCAGCTTAATCCAGTGACACCAAGTTTCTAACAAATCCAGAAAGGTACGTGCATAGTTTTTTTCGTTAATGCTGGAGACCACCCTTTTGGAGGCTTTGTCACCAGATCCAAAATTTTGTTGTCCCAGTCGTAGAAACTGCCAGCTCGAGCTTGAAGTCCAATCTGAGAATCTATCCGTGCTGTTACCTTCCTCTGAACTGAGTGTAGAACAACTGAAATCGACACTGGTCAATTCGTGTTACAAGTACCACGGCTACAAACCCAGACCCAAACGACTTTTAACAGGGGAGCATTTCGAGGCTCTGAAACGTCCTTGCCGACCAAACTATCAGCACAACAGACGTGCTAAACAGTTTCAGTTCAGTCCATACTAATATCAAGGTTACTATCGAATCAGAGCAGAACGGACAGTTTCCTCGATGTCAATGTTAAAAGGAAGACTGACGGGACCATGGGGCGCAAAGTCCACAGAAAGCAAACGTGGATAGGTCGGTATATTCACTTTGGTTTTCGGTTCGTATGTCGGAGTAAACCCACTACTCATTAGGTTGCGGAAAACTCTCCGACCACAACTTTGTGCAGTGTATTGCGTTTATACAATTTATCGTGATATCTCGAATGTCGAAACATGAGATGGCCTGTTGCAGCACATGTAGTTGAAGAATAACATCACAAACGAGAGTTTCAGTTGGGCTCAAGGTGAGTCACTCATTAGAGTTAACTTGGTACGCAGATGAGTATATGATTTGAAAGTGGGTCCAAGTATTTTGGATGGTTGTAATTTGAGGGAAATCAATCGTCTTAAGGTGCACAGACTGTTCGTTTCAAAGCCCTCCAATGCCAAATCTTACTTGCAATAAGATGCTATTTGTAAGGTAGATACACAGCGACTGTCATCACAGGTATATTGCACTACATCCGGTATCATATGAATTATATGTCCCGGAAGATCTTGTGGGATTCTCAAACATTCTCGAGTCCCCTTCGCTGAGACATACATCCAGAATTTGGCCACATTATCAGCAGGCTTGGAGAACATTTGATCTACGGAAGTATTCTTCCGCCCTGTATATCTTGTACGGAAATTCCCTTGTGAGAATTCTCGTATTTTCTCCAACCACCATAGAACTTTATTCGGTTGGATATCGCTTGTTGTGTGTAAGCGGCAAGTAGGTCCTGTAGGGTGTGTTTCCATCGGCTTTCACTTTTGTCCAGTGTATACGTAGATCAGTGAAGTAGTCGACCTTTCTCCGTTTCAGCCGCCGTCCTCCAAACCTTCGCCCAGACTACAGACGGCTGGGGACGCCGAATCCGTTTCATACACCCTGGAACGAACTAATAAGAGACAACCTGTCCTCTAGTCATGTAGACACCAAATGTACCTGCTTTGTTCTCCGTGATCCCTGTTTTCTGCGTTTGGTTGTACAACGGATGATCTCCGGAGACCCCCGGGCGCGACTAACACTGGATCAGCTGGTCAGCCATCACCCCAATCTTCCCTATGCGTTGGTCCCGGTGAGTTATCATAAACAACGGTCTGATTGTTCATTATAACTTGCTAAGTTTGCCATTTGTATAGCTCCATACACCCTTCTACGTTCGCGACAGGTTCAAGTTGATGCTATTGGACGAGGAATTCCAAAACCATGTGCAACACTCTACTGTCCCATTGACGAACAAGACTTCCTGGACGTGTCAAAGGCAGATCACGCGGAGAAACAAGAATCTCCTAAGGTTACCCGCTCTGTTCTTGGCTATGTTGTAACAGGAGGCTTCAACCATAGTTTGGGACGGGCAACCGGCTTGGCATTCATCAGCTTGGCCGCAGTAGTTCGAACCATCCATTCGACAAACCTTCATGGATTAACGCGAATCCTCATGAAGAACACGCGTACTGTTCGGTTGAGGCCCGTGCGTATTTCAGTGCTTCTGTGAATCTGCTTATACATAATACACAACACTCTCATTTCATCATTATTTCTATCCACATTCACGGTGCGTTACCTGTAAAACTAAATGAAAAGACAACCTAGAAATATAAAATGCATGAATGTGAGGTTCAGTCATCGCATGAGGAAACTCCAATACCGCGGGACTTGGTCACGGAAACTTAGTGGTTTTACTCGATACCCGTTGCGGTGAACAGCCGCACACCATTCATTTTTTATGAGCAACGGACTGGCCCACCCACATGAGTAGGGTATAATGAAGAACCCGGTTCTTCATTCTTTTTGAGTCCACGCACATACAGATCTGTTGAACCCCGGTAAATTCGAAGCAGTTCTCTGGCTAAACGCTCAGGTGAAGCATGCTATCGGTGGTACGAGTCTACGAGAGTTTCATGACACTCCAATGCCAACAAAGTGTGCGTGTGTGTTTAGAGTCGGGAACAACAGGAGTTTCCGCTGATAAAAACACCTCAGACGGTGAATGGGCCATCTGGTCCGCAGAGTGTACACACCCTGAGTGATGAAAACTAACACATTTCAATATTGTGGAGCTGTAAAGCACCCTATGCACATCTCGGATTCACATCTCAAGAAAAGCACCGATTACTTACCAAGCATTTTTGTTACATCTCGCTCTCAAGCTTCCCTTTATTTAGTGAATAGCACTATCTATATTTTTTTATTAAGGATCTTACTGTGAGGGGTTGATTTAGATACCGGGGGAAGTAATGGCACAAGTCACAATAGGCAGTTTTTTAGACTGTATTCGCACCACTGATTCCACGGTTGCTACAACTCAATAGGCTGGCAGCAACCACAAATTCTCGACGGTTACATAGAAAGCATATCACAGCAAGACGGATAAGAGAATTTAAGCTGAACTCAAGCATTACGTATGCGAATTTAGCAGCAATTCTGAGGTTTTTATTATTATCATCATGTAGCAAGTGCAAGCACTTGTATTTGGATTACCACCGAGTCAATGACGGAAAGCCAGCCAAAGGTTTTCCTATGAACGACAAATAACAAAGCAGTGAAAAAAATCGTCTACTAGGAAGAAAAACAAACTGATGAAAATGTAAGGTTATGTAACAAGCGCAACATAAAGACGAATGCACGGGTTATCACAGGGTAATAGAGGGGTGATGAAAGTTTCTGGAGTTAATTCAAGCGCAAGACAAGAGAATGTACTGTTTACAAAAACGATTAATGTCGGTAACGGTTAAGCCAACCCTCTGTTTGGTGCGGCTCGACGAAACCCCGGAATCTCAGAGGTTCGTAGTCAAAACGAACCCCGTGTCCCTGTGCCGTTCGAACCTCCAACGTCGGGATGCTGCCCTGAGGGGTAATGGAAAAGAATTGATTGAAATACTGGCTTCATATAAAGTTAACGAACCAAGACGATCCAATAGAAGACGAGAAGTGGTCCTCAGCCTAAGACAGAGCTTTCATCCCAAAACGGCTGCCAAGCAAACCGATAGAGAACAAGAAGGCTCGCAAAGGTCGCCAACCTGCAGAAAATTGCGTGGGAAACCCGAACAGACAAAACAGGAAAACGGGTTTCAGAAGTATTAGGAGACTGTCTGCGTTGATTGGATCTAATTAGCTATCAAACTGAGGTGTTCACGGGAGTGAATTTCTAGTTCACCATGTATACCAAACAGATGTGCCGCTCAGACTACCTAATGCCGACCAGTACCCAAGATTTTGAAACGTTTCCTCCTTATACCACAACTATGAACAAAACCCATCGATTTCACCTTATGTGGAGGTAGTCAGAAACGGGTAGTCTATGCAGTGCTATCAACCATATTTTAGACTTTTTGAACAAACCACTGATTTTCAGACTGAGAACATGTTAACTACAGGCCGTAGTGGATCTCCGACTTATGGTAAGTCAAAAACAGGGTGGAACTGCCAGCAGGTCGTTCGTGAGTTTTGTTCACCTCGAAATTGGCACTACGGATGATGAGAAGTTGGCAAATACATTCTAATGTAGTGGCCATCGACCTATTCGCTGAGCTGTGTAATTGGGTACAAACGTTTCGTTAACAATTGAACACCAGTGAGTATCAGATTAGCTGTACTGACAGTATGATCTTCGATGGTGACTAAATGTTTTAACTGCCCAGCTCAGCGAACAGAGAGACGGTCAAACATGCCACCTGAGTTAAGAACATTCTTTTCAACGACCAACAAAATCTGGTCTCACCTTGTTGAGTTTTTCGATTAGATTCACAAATCCTAGTTACGGTGAGCTGCCAAAAGACACGTCTTGCTCTCCTTGTCACCATATGGTCTCAAGCCACAAAAACACATCGAACACCATCATTTAATACGGGTGTCTACGAAACTAGTGGTGATGGTATATACGAATATCGAGAAATGTTAGGAATAGTTCATCAGCATGACAGGTTTACGGATCCACGAATGTCAGTTCCCACAGCGGACGATCTAACCTTTGTTTTACTACAATGGCTCCACTAATGTGAAGTCTGATCTGACGACTTAGTTAATGATCCCGTTAAGTATGGAAACCGATTATTTCCTCAACAACATTCAATGGAAGCGCATACAAAACACTGTCACTGATAATAACTTGACAGAATGAGGCGATTTTGCCCCTCCTTACAACAAATAATTTGACTTTCAGAGGAAATCCTCGGCTCGATAACGAAATCGGGCGTTTTTATATTGTCCCAGTATATGGATAGAAATGATAGCTGCACATATAGTTTAAGAAATCTCTTCATAGCGTCTGACAAACCCTCATCTTTTAATTTCACTGCGTCTCTCATGTTATTTTCGACTTTCCTTTGGTAAGTTGATGAACGATGTATTTATTTTGTTGAAATGGTAACTAATATTGTTACTTTCCAATGGAACCCTCATGTCAACAAAAATCTCTTATGAGGGTAAGAGATGAATCGATCTTGCTGCTACTGTCTACGGCATCGCACTCATTTATAGTCAAATATAGTCAATTTCGGCGATGCTAACACGAAATGAGGTCCGTTGCATGATAGAGCACTGGAAACGCAAGAAATGCGGATTCGTGAAGGATGCTCGAAACAGGGAAAAAGGGACGTTCAATAAACACTTTAAATAAGATGAAAATAGTTCGGAACACGAGTCATTTCACACCAATTTAACGTCTGCAGTACCAACCCTCTGCTTCAGTAATCCCTCTCAGATCAGTCCGTTCGCTTGATTGCTGCTTTTTCCTTTACTGGAGGATTTTAAAGATATATATAAAGACATATTCAATCTCCACATTCTTGCCGACTGCAACAAGGGGACCAAATCCGATCGATCTGACAAACCGAGCGACGTCAACGGTAGGACCGACTACACGCCCAATACATGGCCACAGTACGACTCATTTCCGGCCACTGTTTGGAGCAGTTTCGCGTTGTTGTCCTGTACTACGCACCTACTGAGTTGGGACTACACTGTGCAGAGTAGATAACAGCCAACAACGAAAAGACGAAAGTACCACATCTATTGTATTCGGCATGGACTGATCCTACTTTTATACAATGTGTTGAGGGAGTATATCTAAGGTCACTGTGGATAATTAAATAGTCGTTGAGTCGTGACACCCTTTTGTCTGACGACTTAGTTAATGATCCCGTTAAGTATGGAAACCGATTATTTCCTCAACAACATTCAATGGAAGCGCATACAAAACACTGTCACTGATAATAACTTGACAGAATGAGGCGATTTTGCCCCTCCTTACAACAAATAATTTGACTTTCAGAGGAAATCCTCGGCTCGATAACGAAATCGGGCGTTTTTATATTGTCCCAGTATATGGATAGAAATGATAGCTGCACATATAGTTTAAGAAATCTCTTCATAGCGTCTGACAAACCCTCATCTTTTAATTTCACTGCGTCTCTCATGTTATTTTCGACTTTCCTTTGGTAAGTTGATGAACGATGTATTTATTTTGTTGAAATGGTAACTAATATTGTTACTTTCCAATGGAACCCTCATGTCAACAAAAATCTCTTATGAGGGTAAGAGATGAATCGATCTTGCTGCTACTGTCTACGGCATCGCACTCATTTATAGTCAAATATAGTCAATTTCGGCGATGCTAACACGAAATGAGGTCCGTTGCATGATAGAGCACTGGAAACGCAAGAAATGCGGATTCGTGAAGGATGCTCGAAACAGGGAAAAAGGGACGTTCAATAAACACTTTAAATAAGATGAAAATAGTTCGGAACACGAGTCATTTCACACCAATTTAACGTCTGCAGTACCAACCCTCTGCTTCAGTAATCCCTCTCAGATCAGTCCGTTCGCTTGATTGCTGCTTTTTCCTTTACTGGAGGATTTTAAAGATATATATAAAGACATATTCAATCTCCACATTCTTGCCGACTGCAACAAGGGGACCAAATCCGATCGATCTGACAAACCGAGCGACGTCAACGGTAGGACCGACTACACGCCCAATACATGGCCACAGTACGACTCATTTCCGGCCACTGTTTGGAGCAGTTTCGCGTTGTTGTCCTGTACTACGCACCTACTGAGTTGGGACTACACTGTGCAGAGTAGATAACAGCCAACAACGAAAAGACGAAAGTACCACATCTATTGTATTCGGCATGGACTGATCCTACTTTTATACAATGTGTTGAGGGAGTATATCTAAGGTCACTGTGGATAATTAAATAGTCGTTGAGTCGTGACACCCTTTTGGTGTCTAGCTGCCATGTCACCCAAAGGAAGCAAGAGGGCTAGGATACTGTCAGGTTGCACAAGCCTAGACAAGGGAAGTCGAGAGGCAGAGGTCGGGTTCGAACCACGGACCTTGCGGTCAGTAAATTCGCGCTCTAATCGCTAAGTCACCTCTCCCCCGATCATTGGATTAGAAAGGTTGTTCTTGGGATTCCGAAAGCCAGGTCTCCCGTCTCCATTTACTTACTNACGACCTTGAGTATATCACATGAGGATAACTCACTTACGCAAATAAAACGCTCGAAACGCACTCATATTCACTGGTAGGGATAGTCAGAACACGTACGGTGCGTGTTACACTGCACTTCGTTTCCGCTTCTTGTATTTGGATTTTATAAAAGCGAAAATCAAAACCCGTCAAATAAAGGTCGGGGAATAAAAACAAATTAGGAATTTCCAGCACACTGTTACTTGGCTACAAGTAATCTCTCCATGACAAAGCTAGCAAACTGCAAGATACACTCAACGAATGAGCACGTACGACGGTTTTTTTCAACCCTGAAATATTCTGCTTCGAGCTCCAAAGTGTACTCACAGTTAACTAGCCCTAAATTAGGAACTGCCAGTTTGAAAAGAGCGAAAAGTTCTGGACAATAGATTGCATCCCAATCCTAGCTCTATCTCGAATACGGAACCGCAATAATCTCATGCACTGGAGACCTCTACATTGCATATTCGGTTCATACGGGTGGAACAACATCTATAAGACACCATACCGAAATATGGAGCAAGGGACCAGTAGATCATTTAACTTCAGACCGCCAAAATCTATAGGAATACCATTAGTTAACTGTTATGGATAGGTAAATCAAAATGACCAGCCACTGGCTCTATCCATCGAAATAAGGAAAAGGCAATGAATCGGTGAGAATATCGCATGGAACTCACTGGTAGCTCATGAATATTGATCCACATCGCATCGTCCAAAATCTGATTCACTTTATTCAGTCCGTCTTCGTTCTTCTTTTCTTCAGCTGGAAAGGAAGAAGATACCAAGGTGGTGAGATTTTTCATGCGTTGCATAAGATTTCAACTCACTATTACCGACCAGAACGCGTTAACATAAAAGGGTTTCAGAGTGGCATCAAACTCCTCAGAGTGGCTTTGCTAGATGGAATGGGCTGTCTGATAAGTTTTCTAAGGAACCTATCTTTCCTGTACACCTATTTAACACGTGCAACCCTTCAACGATTTTCCCTCTCTATCCAAACAGCATTTCACTAGTGTATTATGTCTGCCCAGTAAAAATACACTGACACCAAGGCGTCGTATTCATCAAATTGATCGATTCCTGTTTATCAAGTTCGCATTGAACGTTATTACAGACGCCGAGGGAAGGCACTTACGAAAGACAAGCTAACAGTTACTCACTTCCAGAAACCTGACCCCACCAACCAGAGGAATCACGAATGGTGTGTTTGTCCAGGGCGCGACCGCAAACAGTGAGTTTGGACGGCGGACTGAAACAGGAAAACAGTTGTCTGAAAACCGAGCCGCAGATTGGTCAGCAAAAGGTCGGTGAATATGCTTCAGTTTCTGCCGTGTTGGTTAGGCGGTTAGGGGAGCTTGAGACAAGGCTGCCGCCGTTTCAAAAGAAAACATTATGCTGAAAAAACATGTGTACACTAGGTTTTCCAAGTCTTTATTTAGGATATTCTGCTAACAATCATATCCATGGACGGAACGATTGATGTTCTTTGGAAGTAGGAATGTGATTCTCACCTAGTCGATGATACATAGCGGAACCATCGATGCGATCTTTAAACGACTGCCCACCTGAAGATAACCAAAGAGAAGTTAGGAAAATAATGTAGACAGCTGGCGTTTTGGACGAACGTAGTTGCAGAGTCGCACTACCGCGGTAACTTTTGAGTCATTGTAAAGGTTGATTCCGCTAAGTCGGATTTCAGTATTCTGCAGGCCGTGCCAAAACGACAAAATTGTGAGCCAGCAAATCACAAAGTGATAAATATTTAGGTCAATAGCATTTCAGCTAAAGTAGAGCAGTCACCTCAGATCAGTACCAACCGCTCCACGTTTTACATATTGCGAATTTTGGTATAAAAAGCTGTTGGCACGTACTTATTCAACTCTTGGCAGGCTTCAATTAATCGATGCCGAGGGACAGGAACGCGGTCGACCGACCCCGTCGTATTGCGAAGCTGAAGCAGATCTAAGAATCCTCGTCTTCTCAGGCGCTACAGCAAACAAAGGCAGTAAAAAGCATGTCACTGCATGGGTTTGGCGCGAGAAGTAAAATTCTTACCACAATGACTGATTTCAAATGCATCTCACCCCAAATCGCTAGACATTCGTCTTTCGGGAGCCCAGGTCATTGTGAGAATTTCGTGAGGATGCAACTTCTACACCCCTGAAACCCTATAAGTGCTTCGTTTGGAATCGTCGTTCGAGTGAATTCTGACGGGGCGGCACATCAGCCAACCTATCCGTAGCGAGGGAACGGTAAATTCCAGCAGAGCACACCCATTTGTTATAATGTCGTCGTGCACTACCCAAGCATGATTCTTAGTTCTTGGATCACCTTAGTGATTCACGTAAAATGCAGTGGCTGCAATGGCTCTAAGACAGTCCTTGTTTAAAGTTGAAAGATATGATAACACAAATACCAAAACTAGTCTTAGCCAAATATACCAGAAGAGGGTTGGCGTCAAAGGGAAAACAGTCTCTTCATACCGCTCACAAAAGTAGACTATCCCACAATCCACGATTCGTTTGGGTCACTCGTGGAGAGCAGCATCTAAATAAAAACTAAAAAATGTACTCACAACCAACCATTATGCGTGAAGCCGCATAACTGACGTACACTGAGAATGTGATTCAATTTGTAAGCCTTCTGGGGAACAGTCCACTGCTCCCAAAATCCAGCCGCGCCAACTAACTCTTGCCGCACGAATTCGATTGCAATAATTCTGAAAAAAAGAACAAGCAAGAAGTTGGCTTTGATGAGGTCGATGAAATATACATTTGTTGATGGTTAAGCTCACATGAACTTCCCTATCGGTTAAGATGACAATCAAGAGAGGGCAGCAGCTTCTGAAAATCAAGTACCAAAATAAGTTTCGCCCGCTCTAATTCTGTAATGATGGACGATGAAGGAAAGTGGAGTGAGAAGGATGTGTTCATAATGTACAGCAGAATGGTGTTACAACATTTAAACTCCAACGTATTGTGCGGAATAATGCTTGTCAAAACCAAGTTCAATGAAATGGTAACTTAATCGACCCAACTCCATCCAAAGAAGTCCTAATGCATGTGATGTCATCAAGACCGAATGTATTAACTGGAGGTCTTCTCTTCATGATTCCACCTACCCCTTAGTTCTGGCCTGAGGCTATAAAAGAACATGCACCAAATGTATCACACCCTAGCACAGAACTTCGGTAGACCAAGTGAACTACCATCGATGCTCACAATAAGACCCGTGTCGACCACAGATATTTTGCTTCCATTCAACCGTTCCAACTTAGCTGAAAACTTTACAGTGGGGAGAAAAGCGGTTTTTGTCAGCTCATTGGAAATTTCCGTGGTACCAACACTTCCAAGTACTCACTGAGACAAGTCAACGGCGTCCGCTGGCGGTCGTGACTTGCAGTGTCAGAAGCCGCCTCATGTGCGGCATACTGATAGACACGAGTCCGATCACCGGGATTTGAGTACTGCTAAAGCCAGTCAGAGCTAAAGCAAACTCCGCGATAGGTGAAACGTTTTAAGAGAGAGCACTGCGTCAATTCTATCGGTGAACCCACGTTCTGATGTATCGCCATATCGCCGCGAAAACTGTACACGTTGTCGAAACTATCTGAACATTTTCGTTATTTTCATTCTCATCATCACCAACACTGACACAACATAAGCACCAACACTGATGCTCCGCTACCGTGCAACCATAAGGGCCTTATTGTGGAGAAAAGAATGAAATTGGATGTGGAAGGGACTTGGCAATAGGCTACCACAATTATTCCAAGGGACATGCACCTCCAGACGCTCCGGATAGAATGACAGAAAGGACGCCACTGAGATCGATCAACAACCATATTGTGTAGCGTCTCCAAACAGTCATGGTGTGGATCACGCGGATCCAATCCACGAAGGCGAGTCACATGTCACCGTAATCTCTCATACCGACCTGCCGGGTCAAAAGTTTGCCGTCTGTCCGCTCGCGCCACTCTGAATAGAAGAGGATAACTCGCATCCGAATCGCATTGGCCAGTCAACAGCGATCAAACCACTGGACGCCTGCGCATAACACATAGTTAGACAGCCACAGAGGGTCTGCATTGAGATTAATGTGGTATTACATGTGAGATCTTGGTGCTGTTTAGGATCCGAAGGAATAAGGTGGACTAATATGTAGTGCGGAAACGCATGTATTCACTAGCTATAAACTGGAACGTACCTTTGATTGTGGTAACTACCCTCTTCGAACATCTCGTAACGCGGAGTCTGTTCCGTGGGACAGCGTCTAAAATAAACAGCTCAACAGGAACATAAATACCCTGTTAACATTAACATGGTCAGAAAGCTGGCCACGTGGTAGACAAGAGGGCTCTGGGGGTACCCCCTGATTTCTCTCTTGAAAACAGGGGGAGATGCGCAATCAAGACCATCAAGAAGGAGCCGCTTTTCGGAATCCGACAGGAAACGCATGTACCTAGCATTTGAAAACACCTTAGGCGAAATGAGAACAAGGGTTCCATACTTCTATTAATACGTCTACAACTTCACGTAACACATCGTAGTCGTCCTCCGATTTCGAAACACCCATTCTGAAGTAGTGTACCACTAGGGGTTAGGGGAAAGTGGACTAATATCAGAGAGTTGTCTTCGCAGATTTCTTCAGTTGTTTTATTCTCTGAAGTCCCGCGAATGTCCGTTTGCCTGAAAAAGATAGAGAAGCAAGCCGCAGTGACACTAATGTTCATCATCGACAGCATAACATCAGTGTTCGACACAAATTCTTCGCTGATGTGCCACTGACGCCCCATGAAGTTACAGCGTCAAACAAGTGTTAATACGACTAAACACAAAAGGAAGGATATGAAGGGATTTGCAGACGTGGCAGTGAAAACTGCAGAAAGTCTAATAAAAGCTTCAAGAAAGCCAAGTGGAAAACTCTTGATCCAACATCGAATGACTTTCATTCACCGCCTCAACGTCTGTCGAGAATTCACTCTAATGAATCCGTCACAGAATGAATCTCACCGTGGGGTGACGATTATGCACCCCAATAACACCGAGTTATCAGTCCAATTCGGTTTCACAGCTATGAACCATATACAAGGGTGCGCTGGTTCCAGTTGCTACAGTTTCGGTCACCGGAAAATGGGAGAGCAGGAAAGATACAACCGACAGCCATAGGTCTGACACAGGAAGGCCAGACTGCATGATTGAGCCATGCCTGCCAGTTTCGCTAACCATTGGTAAGTTAAATCCCAGAATCCTCATTCAGATAGGCGGTAGTCATAGAACCGTCGTTTCCGGGCCGTACATTGTCCACCACTTGGTCGCTTCCATTCATCATAAGGATGGGCAAAAAGAGCCATTCGAGGCAGGTGATCCTCCGTCACACGAAGTACATGTTCTAACCAGCGCAACCTATGAAGTGTGATTAACTGATTCATTATGGGGGAGTTCTTTTTTCCCAAAAACATCTTACACCACATCAACACTGGCGTGGTACCTTCAGCGGAATCGTCTTGTTTTCTTCACACAGCAGGTTAGGGTGAGCGTGAACAGACTACTGCTGACGCCGCTCTTTTCTATTTCATTCATTAGTCCTCGACCCGTTGCTGGCGACATCTTTGAAAGCCCATCCTCAAGGGATGACAGATCTGTCCACCACCATTGCCGTTATCTACCGCGGTGACACTTCGAAATCTTTTTATCGAACTCAGATGCTCAGTTCATCTGATAGTCTTAATCTTGTTCGCTCTGAAACAAACCGGACATCGGGTTTTTTCATGTCCGTCAAGAAGAGAGTGGACCTCGCCATGCGGTGAAGGTTTATGTGACCCAGTGAGCTATACTGGGCGATGCTCAGTCTCTCATACTAGGCTGTCAATGGTCAGGGGTCTGACTAAGTCTTCTGGCCCTCCAGGTTAGGGGTTTGGAACATATGTTACAACTTCTTTTATAAAATAGTGGTCGAGCATTTACATTTCCAACTAAAAAAGCTACCCCGTTGTGAGGCCTCTGAGCCAAAGGCCTTAGCTGATGACTCTAATCTTCCTATTGTATAAGTTTGGACCACCTGATAGTTTCCCAGCCTGCATGCAGCCATGAATTCTTCTTCCAACCCATCAATAATGAACTACTTGTAGGTTCATCCATTAGGACCGAGGAGCCATTGATCATGCACCAGCCTTAGACGCAAAAGCTGCGAATCAGTCGGTGCCGATAGTCTCAGGGATCTCGAAATCAGTCAGGGCCTCGAAGCCCGGTAAATCTGCCCACTCTTACTGTTCACACTGAAGCAAACAGGACAGGAATTTTCTCTTGACCTCATATTCAACTCACTTGACAATGATGTGTGCTGTGTGTCAGCAACAAGTAGTCGGGATGCAAGCACAATGGATGAGCCAACCAACCCATCAAAGTCCTATCGCTTCCGGCTGCGAATCTCTGATGATCCCGGGAGCTGCTGCTGCAGGATGTGTAGAAGTTAGTACCGACCCAAGTCACCGGGCAGAAGGATCCCTGCTTGACTGCATATTAGTCTGTGCCTCTGTGCGGTCCGTCTGGAAGCGTCTCTGGAGGATTCCCACAGGCGTGAAGATGATACTTGTCCGTTTGTAGTGTCTGCTTACGCCCCACACGACTGTAGGTCTACCACCATCAAAGACAATATTCATGACAAACTGAATGCCCTGTTACGACAGGCTAAAAGCTCAGATATCGTACAGATATTCACAAGGAGGTGGCCGCAGATCCCTCGGCGAAACTTAGAACCGACAGCCCTTTGCCGCTCGCAGCTAGGCGCTGCTACGGCCCAGTGTGTATCCCGCATGTGATTGGCGAAAAGACAGGCCGCTTGCCACTTCAGAATCAAGGCGAGCTCTGATTGTTCGACAGTCTGTACCCACAACCAAACATGGTCCAGTATCCACCGAATGCCGTTTGCTCATGGCGCGTCCAGAAGACGCCGGAATTTTCAGAATTTTGGCACCGCATACACTATTAACGAGGTGTTTTGTCTGTATTTTTTTGACGTAGTTTCGGGTCTTTAGGCACTTTGTGCACATTTGGTGATTATTTTGACGCGAACGCTAGCTTGAAAGGTTCGGTCCGAGAATTGCCCTGTCAAAATACCGCTATTTCAGGATCTGAATCCGCACTTGGACTGGCTTAGAGCGTCTTAGACTCATCTGGGTGGTCGGAATAGATTGGAACGAGTACCTAGGGACGTTGGCGAGAAATTCACGGATTCACTGATTGATACATAGGATCGAGGCATTTGCTCAAGTTTCCCGGGCCGGTTTTGTTCTTGTCGATCAGTGGCTGTCGTTCACCTTAAAGGCACAAGAGAAAAAAGGGTGTAGCACTGTTCTTCATGTTCTCAGCGCGGGGCAGTATGCTTGCCAGCGCGAGGATTCGCATAATAGTGTCTAATATAACATAGTATCTAATAGTGCTTTAAACTGGGTTCTAGAAGGGGCGTGAACAACCGCCGGATGAACGTCATTCTCCATGCGAATAATACGCGAGAAGGTGCGTTGGATCATCCGTAAAATGGCGAATGCCGTTCGGGCCGAATTCTCCTGATGTAGTGAGAATGACAAGTTTGAGGAGACCCAGATGCCCAAATCCCTTTTGGCATTTATCCACCCTCATGATGTTTTCTGGTCCTCTCTCACCATGCATAACAAAAACATTCACTGAGTCTCCTTCAGATGACATATGGACATATTTAGGGAGGTCTTTGACGTAGATCAGAAACAGCAGTGGTCCCTGGATGGAGCCTCGAGGAACTCAATAGAGAACGACTTTAGAGAAGATTAGTTCGAGTCTACTCACAGTCGGAATGATCTGTCTGATGGGAACGCCCTGACCCAGTGAAGGATTTCCCTTTGAATCCCGTCAGACTCGATGTTGTGGTGCAGCGGGAAGTGTGAAGCCCTATGAAATGCCTTTGAGAAGTCGAAAAATATAGCATCCGATATGAGTCTTTCGTCCTTGGTTTGGGTTAAGCTGTCGATAAACACGAGCATGTTTGTCACGCAGGAGCGGTCTGGGAGAAATCCGTGTTGAGCTGGAGATATCAGGTTGGTGTATGTAAGGTGCTCTTAGATAGCTCGCTTCAAAATGCATTCCATCACCTTGCGCGGCACGCTAGTGAGGCTTATAGGCCTGTAGCTGCAACACGATAGTTGGCCACCAGTTTTGTAGATTGGCATGACAATCGCTTTCTTTCAAACAGAGGGAAGGCGGCCTTCGTCAAGCGACTGAAGAAATACCAGGTGTAGATGACTTGCCAGTGTATACGGCGTTTCCGTCAGGGTCCTTGGATGGACCTTGTCGGGCCCCAACGCGCAGAATGGGTTGATCTTTTGCAAGAGTCGACGCATGACCTCCACCTTGAAGACCAAGTCAGTTGGAGGCTGTTCGTAGTTTCTCCTTGAAAGAGTGGATGAACAGTAAGTATATTGTTTTTTTCGGATGGGGTCCGGGATGGTGGCTTGTTTTCGTATGTTCCATTGACGGATTTCTAGTTTACAGCGGTTCCGAATTTTACGAAATGCCAGCTCATCTTCCGTATCCCCTGCAGTCAACTTTTTGAAAAAGAGTTGGGATCTTTTTTCCAGAAGTCGCCTAATCCTTTTTGGCATCCTGCGGTCCACCCGAGTGCGTGCTAGTTTTTTTGGGACGAACGTCGCGTCAGCCTCGTGAACTTTCTGGGCATTGGTCCCATATAGTTCTTCCACTGGAGCTGGTCCCAGTGTGACTTGTTCAAGAAAGATGCGCATTACTGAGAAGTCTGCACGGCAGAAGTCTCGAAACCACGTTTGAGGTTCGGGATTTCTGGCCCAGTAGCAGATGAAATCAAAGGTCAGCACACAGTGGTCGCCATGTCCCAGTGGAGCGTTACCTGATCAACGAAGTGTCTTTCGTTGGTGATGGCCAAATCCAGGAGGGTGGATATTTGGCCTGCTCGGTATCTGGCGGGTGAAACGATATGTTGAGTCCAAGCGCTCTGGTGAACGACTTCAATCAGCGCCGCTGCAAAAGCCCGCGTGATTTGACGCGCTGAAGCTCCATCCAGGAAGCCTTTGGAGCGTTGAAGTCACCTACAAGCAGGAGATGAGTGAAGTGGTGGTTGGAGGAGAGATGCTCAAGTGTTAGTATGAGGAATTGGTCATCTTCAGTGGGACTCGAGTTTCTAAGGTAGACCATACCAAGAAGGAGAGAATAAGAGCCGCGCAGCGGGAGTTGGACCCACAGTGCATCACAGGAGGGTGCAGGAGTGGTGTCAGAGAGGACACTCGGGATTGGTACGGCCGCATGTAAGTACAGAGAAGTTCCACTTGCCCGCTCTCGTTTTGAATCGGCTCAAAAAATAGAGTAACCGTTTATCGAGATCTTCGCATCAGAGATATCTGGTGTGAGCCAGGTCTCTGTGAGCGCGATTATGAACGGTTGTTCAAGGCAAGCTGACTGTTTAACATCGCCGAGTTTGTTGAAACGGCGGAGGCAGTTTGTGGGCAAGCAGTTCAACACAGTCTCTGCTGCCTCCGAGAGTGAGGAGCCGAAAGTTGAGTGACCAAGTTTGTCAGCAGAATTAATAGTTGTGCGCGGGTTTGATGCCAAGGCTCCGAGGGGGGCCTCTCGGGCGATGTCGTCTGTTTCCAGTGTTTGTGGCTTCTGAGGGTGCTTTTCGCTTGT